TGGGTCGGCATGATGACACTCTGGAAGGAAGGAGCAAGCAATTTACTTTCTAAGTAAGAAATTCATGGACTATGAGTCTCGATATAGTACCTTAGAAAAGATGTGTTGTCGCTCGGTATGGAATGCCCGACGACTCGAGCAATATATGTTGTATTACATGACATGGTTGATTACGAAAATAGATCCTCTCAAATATATCTTCGAGAAACCATATTTGTTAAGTAAAATTGCAAGATGGAAAGTGTTATTGACGGAACATGACATTGTGTACATGACCGGAAAGTCGGTAAAAGGAGTGTGATTGCGGATCATTTGGCGGAGAATGCGATCGATGATTATGAACCGTTAAATTTTGACTTTTCCGATAAAGATATCATGGCATTCGAAGTTACATTGGTCGACTCGGATGATAAGAAATGGACCATGTATTTTGATGGGGCGAGTGAATGTATCGAGTAATGGTGTAGGGAATGTTCGATCTCGTCGGATGAAAAGCGATATCCAATAGTCATTCGACATTGTTTTGATTGTACCAATAATATAGGCTGAGTATGAAGCTTGAATACACGGTCCGAAGACGACTAGAGAGAGAGGTATCACAAAGCTTGAGGTATACGGTGATTCGATACTAATAATCTGTCAAGTAAAAGGGGAATGGCAAACCAAAGATGAGAAGTTGAAGCCTTATCGGGTTTATCTTACCAAATTAGTCGAGGAGTTCGATGAAATTAAATTTACTCATATGGGAAGGGACAAGAATCGGTTTATTGATGCATTGGCAATTCTAGCCTCGATGACTCGACTTGATCCCGGAGTCGGGGTATAACCCATTTGCATTGAGACTAGAAACGCACCGAGTCCATTGTTGTGCTTATTGAGGAGGAAATAGATGGGAAACTATGGTACTACGACATTCGGATGTTCGTCAAAAATTGAGAGTACCCTCCGGGTATCTCTAAGATGGATCGAAGGCCTTGAGGAGGTTGGCTATGGATTTTTACCTAGATGGTGAAGTGTTATACAAACGGAGTTTTGATGGGACATTGCTTCGGTGTCCGAATGCGGTTGTGGATGATCGGTGAAAAGAGGCTAGCTGCCATTTGTCATGCAAGAATGTATCGGAAAAGGATGGCCAACGCATACAACAAAAAGGTTCGACCAAGAGAATTTCGTAAGGGAGATCCGGTGCTTAGGAAAGTTTTATCGATACCTGGAGAGAATAATAGCAAGTGGTCGCCCAACTATGAAGGCCTTTATGTAGTGAGAAAAGCATTTTTAGGGGGAACACTCCTTTTGACCGAGTATGGATGGTGAGAACATAGTTAAACATGTAAATTTTGATGCGGTTAAGAAATACTATACTTGAGGGTTGTTGTTTTCTTCTTCATGAAATAAAGAATGAAATTCGAGGCCAAACATGTACATTATATTCTTCTTTCCATCTCTCGTTTCCTCGACTCGATAAACACCTCACCTCTTTTTTCATTTCATGATCTCTATTAATATTATAAATAACATGCAAGTCAATTAAGATAATAGTGTTTTACTTAATGTACGGCGAGCTTAATCTTCTCCCCTAAAAAAAAAAACCCGATGAACCCCGGAAGAACTTAGGATCTATATGCCTTTTGAACCGGAGCCACCTCAAACATATCAAGATTACTCCGGACTAGGAAAAGCAACCAAGATGTCAAGACGAGGTAACCGCTCAACGTTATATTGGTCCAATAATAGACAAATAAAATGTTGAATTGGGTGAAAAGGAATAAGTATATATTGTCGACACTCGAGGCTTGTCATGCAACATGTAAAAAAAAAAATCGAGCCAAAACCTTTTCCATTGGTACATGTCCCAAATTGCTCCTATGGCACCGCCCATGAAAATGACATAGCAAATGCTTAGATTTGTAGGTTCTATCTTGATATTATTCTAATAAAAGGGGTTCAAGAAAATAAAGCTCATATAGATCGGATACTATTGTCGATAGGAAGAGGAAAGGCCTTATTGGGAATTTTATCATATTTATTTGAAACTTATCCATTGAAAACCAAGTTTGAGCTTTCTATTTTTCTTCATGAAAACCGGACTAGGATTACCCCTCACATTAGGGGCATAAAAAAAAGATTTGAGAGGCATGTCACCAAACAACTTGTGATCTAAAAAATCAAAAAGGGAGTCACTACTAAAGATGATTGGGAATGAAAGAGGAAGGAGGTCATGATCCCTCCATGCGCTAAAAAAAAGGGGGACCAAAGCTTCCAAAACCAAAAAAAGGGGGTCCTACTTCATTAGAAAAAAGAGTAAATCACCTCACAAACCCCAATCCCAAGTTAGGTTGGCAAGATTACAATCAAACATGCCTCTAATCAAATCCGATTTAAAAAAAAAAAGAGTGGTCCTATGTCACCCCGAAACACTATTTGAGCCTATTTTATCCATCTTTTAGAAAACCATACCTTAGCCTACATTACAAACCAATAAAAGTCCTTTCTAACTAGAGACAAGTAACCGGTTGGACTAGTGTTAGATTCGCGAGTCCCTACAAAAGAAATTTTATCGAACGGATAGTCAAAATCGAAGCATAGGCTAGTCAAAATCATGGTTGGTGCCAAATCTTGGGGGTAAACATTACCTTTTATCATCGAGCTCTGTGATTTTTCACTATTAAAGTTCAGCATTCAAACTAAAAAACATCATTATTTCTATCTTCAAAACATTTGCATGACAAGTCCATGAGTCCGATGGGTTTTACTCAACCTTTAAATCCAAAACCTCCGAAAGAAATCTACATAGCTTTCCCTATGAAGGAGAAAATTCACGAAAGGGAGAAGTGTCAAAACATTTCAGAAAGCATATGGAACCTCAAGTTACAAGGAAGGTCACCAAAGCGACGAATCAATCTAAAGCGAGCAACAAATCCAACATCCTCCCCATAAGCGGTCGATAGACGATCGATCAAGCTAGGGAGCGACCATTACCATCAATAGACCAAGAGGACTACCGTACCCCTCATAAACCTCCGAAGGATAGATCAATCAAGTTCACAAGAAAGTAAAAACACAATCGGGGGTAGGGCCACGGAGCTCGAACACCGATAACCGATCAACTGCTAATAATTGAAAGAGAGAAGTCAAACAAAGAGATTCGAGCGGGATGACCTATGTTTCTTATAGGTACCTTGACTAACCAAGTATGCTTGAGTTTGTTTTCGAGCATATTGCAATCCCAACGGATACAAAAGGAATGGAGAAGCAATACTCTTCATAAATCCATCTTAGGTATGGTCACCTCATAATAGACCACCGCCCAAGTGCGAAACCCTAAGTTGAACAATCACTTTTAGGTAAGGACAAGTAACTCAATTCAGCGAGGTAAGATTGTGAAGTTTTTCTCAAACATTTAATTTTCGGGGTAAGTCGCCTTTTACAATAAGGCCACGCACCGCATATTTAATTTTCACTCGCATATTTAATTTCTAGGGTAGGTTGCCCTTTACAATAAGGCCACGCATTTGCATATTGATTTTTAAGGTAGGTCGCCCTTTATAATAAGACCATGCATCGCATATTTAATTTTTACGGTAGGTCGCTCTTTACAATAAGGCCACGTATCTACACGTTTAATTTTTAGGATAGAGCTGCCCTTTACAATAAGACCATGCATCGCATATTTAATTTTTAGGGTAGGCTTCCCTTTACGATAAGGCCACGCACTATACGTTTAATTTCTAGGGTAGGTCGCCCTTTACGATAAGGCCATGCACTCGCACGTTTAATTTTCAATGCACATTTAATTTTCGGGGTAGGTCGACTTTTACAATAAGGCCATGCATCACATGTTTAATTTACTGGTAAGCTATCCTTTACAATAAGGCCATGCACTCGCATTTTAATTTTTACGAGTCATTCCATCATAGCTTTGCCTCCGGTTTTTTTTAAAAAAAACCTTTTCTTTACAAGCTTATTAAACAAATTCGGTGAAAAGCAACATTTTCACTCGACTTTATGCCATAAGCATTGTAAAGAGGGAGCAACTCGTAATAACTCAAAAAATTTTTTATTATTTATTTATTTATGTTTATTTATTATTTATTATTTTTATTGTTGTTTTTTAATTTGAAGTATATTAAAAAAAAGAAGGAAAAAAAAGAAAGAAAAAAGAAGAAAGAAAATGATGAAAAAAAATAAAAAATTCATTTAGGGATACAATTGAAGTAATTAAGGATGTAACGAGTCAATTAAAAAGTTTAGGCCTTAAATTGCACCTCCAGGGACCTAATTGATGAGATTGTGCTAAAATTATTTCGCAGAGGTGCGTAATTGCTGAAATTGAAACTCGATGACCAAACCGAAAGTTTGGAGCGAATGATAGGATCGAAGTGGAGGAGACGACTCGTCTTCGCTCCAAGGCGATTCTCTCCGAACATCTTTGGGAGAATCAACCCAAATCCTTCATGAATTTCTTGTTTTTGATTATGTATTAATCATGGATTTTGTTACCAAAACCAACACTAACATGAATCAATGAGAATTTCCTGTTTTGATTTCACAATTAATCATGAATTAAAGAGAAAAAATTTTGACAAAAAATTCGGGGATTTAGATTCGATTTTAGGAAATTTTTTTGGCTATAAAATGAGTTGAATTTTAAAGGAGAAAAGAGGGAGAGAAGACCGAGTTGAGAGGGAGTGAAAATCAAAAGCGAAAAGAACTCGATTTTGATTTTAGCAAGTTTCATTTACTAGGTTTTTTTTTTTTTTTGGGTTTGTGTTCTTGAGACCTAGGTTTGGTTCATAATCCGTCGGACCCCTTGTTGTTCTTTTTTTAGTGTTTCTCGATTTAAGTTTTGATCTTCGAGTCTCCTTCACTTTTTGATTAAAGCTCGGGTTTCCAATTCTTCAAAATCTAGTCTCTCCCTTTGGAAATTCCGGGCGATGGCTTACGTTTCTTCATAAGTTTCGGGTTTCGGGTTAAACGTTCTTTGGCGTTCCTCGTTTCAGGCGGCGTTTGAAAATTCTCGGAGTACTAGGTCTTACGTTCGAAGTTCTTCACATTGTTGCACCTCAATTCTCCTACCTAGAACCCGTTTGAGCATCCGAGGTCGGCGCACAACTCCAAATTATCGTTTTTCTTTAATTATCCGAGTTATTGTTCATTTTTATTTTTATTTTTTGGTTTTGATTCCAATTGCTTAAATTCCAAACATTGGTTTAAGTGATTTGTTTAAACTTTAATTTTGATTGTCCTTGGTTTGTGATTGAAATCAAGGAATAAAGATTTTGTGTTAATGAATTCATTGGTTTGGAATTGTGATGCTTTAGTTCGGGAAATTAGAAAAGAGAGAGAGAATGCGAAGAACAGGAGAGAGAGAAAGGACGAATGGCTTAAAATCAATGTTTTGATCGAATTTTGGAGTGTTGTTTCGTTGGGGTTGTTTCAGGCTTTGGCTCGATCCAAGAAGAAATAAAAGGGGGTGGGGATGGATCGAAGTCAATCTAGCCCATCACGTAAAAAAAAAAGGCAAGGGTCGGACTGATTCCATTCAACCCAAGACAAAAAAAGAAAAAAAAAAGGGGGTGATTTCGACCAAGCCCATACCCTTTCTCAAAAAAAAAAAAAAAGGTAATAAAAAAATAGAATTAGGGAATAAAAAATAAGTAAAAGAAAAAAAAGAAGAAAAAGAGGGGATGGGTAAAAAAAAACAGAGAGAGTAAAAGTGGTGGGTCAATATCTTAGATATAGGATTTTTTTTTATTACTTTTATTGTCATTTTTTTAACTTCGTTTATATAAGATGATTTTTTTTCTTATCTTTTTTTCTTCTTTTATTATTTATTTTTTTAGCCTATTTATTTTTATTTCTTGTCATTTTTAGGTATTAATTTAGATTTGTTATTTTAATTTTTTTCTTTTCTTTAATATGTATTGCAAAAAAAAATCTAGACGAAGTCTCCTATCCGATAGGGATCGACGTTATTAAAAAAATCCCTAAAAATTTTGGCGAAGTCTCCCACATGGTAGGGATTGACGTCATAAAAAAAAAAATTTGATGAAGTCTCCTATCTAATAGGGACCGACGTTACCAAATTCAAAATTTTCGATAAACCCTCTTATTTGATAGAGGCTGACATCATCAAAAATCACCTTTTAATTAAGACGTCCTCCGACACGCCGGTTGTGTTAAGGCTTTTAGTGGATCCGATGTTTAAATCGACGTGTTACCCAATGAAGGGGATCGACGATCGTTTCAATATGAAGCCATGCCCAAAACTAAAAAATTCACTTAGTCTAAAAAAAAAAAAGGAGATTAAAATTTAAAAAATACCTTGACATGGATTTTAAGAGATAATTCAAAATTAAACCGTACATGGTATATTTTTTTGAAAAAGGCGCTTTTAGGTGATTAAATATCTTCATAAAAGTGTAACCAACTCTTTACCTCGAAATCTCCGAACCAATGCTACTTTTAGGTTCCTAGTTTCTTAAATACTAGGTGGCGACGCCAAAGCTCGTAAATAATTTTGTAAATAACGAACGCTCAAAATTTTAATTTTCTTTTGGGGGTCCCGTCCAACGTCGTGTAGCGATAATATAAAGGGAGATTTGTTAGACATACAATCAATTTTTTAAAGATTTAAAGCAATGAAATTATGCATTTGTGATAGTGGCGGGAAAGTGGACTCGACTACGATAGCTAGTGTTGGCAAGGAAGGAGGAGTCGAAGGATGAAGGGAAGATCGATAATGAGGGTTTTGGTTCATGGGATTTTTGGGTGAGGGTTTTAGGTGATGGAGGTCGTGGTTGCTAGAGAAAGGATGGTAAGAGATTAGGGATGGTAGAGAAGGAGGATGAGGTTGTTAGCAACAACTCGGAGGCATATGAGATTGATCGAGGGAAGGAGAATGATGAAGGTTTTAAGGGCTAGGCTAAGCAAGATTTCGGTTAGGTTTGAGGATTTTTTCAGGTTTTTGATAAGCTTGTAGGAGTGAGGGAGCTAGCATAGATTAGGAGAGCCAACACAAATTTTGTGATTTGAAATTGGCAAAGAAGAAGTTTGGGTTTGAATTTTGAAATAAGAAGAATTAGAGATTCTTAGGAATTCCATTAGGTTTGGGAATGATTGACATGTAGTTTATAAATAGGGAGTTAATTTTCAAATAAGGCACATATATATGACATTTATGTCATGCTATCATCCCATCTCTCACGTCATATAAGCTAGGGATGGCAATGAGGTGCGAGGTGAGAATGGCCATCTCCGTCCTCGCTCCGTGCTCTATTCGGAGCATATTTTGCATACCATCTCCGCCCCAAACAGAGAGGGGACGTGGCCTTATCGGATTGTCATTCCTCAAGACAAAAGGACGGGATGGGGCGGGGCCCCGTCGATTGCCATTCTTAAAGGCAAAAGGACCATCCTCAACCCACCTCGTGCCCCTTTCGAGGCGTATTTCGGGTACCATCTCGCGCCCAAATGGGGCGGGATAGGGTTCCGTCGTAGTCGGTCGGATTGCATCCCTAATATAAGCTAAAAATAGAATTTAAGCCAAAAAAATTCATGTGTACTTATATGGTCATTAGAAGTTTAGTTTATGTCTTTTTTTATCTAATATTAAAAAGACGTGCTAAAATGATTAAAAAGTGTTAAGTTCGTGGCTTTATAATACAATAAGCCTTATAAAACTACCTCTTAAGATGAACCATCAATTGCATTCATTAATTTGATCCTTAATGCTACCAAATGTTTTTAATTATATCCTTCAAATCCATTTTTTTTGTCTAAATCAATTAACATATTCCATTAAATACTTACACAACTTAAAGATCTATTAAATTTAGATTGGAATAAATAAAATTGATAGTCGGAGGTTGAAAAAAATTGAAAATATAAATCTTTATTTTTTATTTGGAGTTTAAATGGGATTCGATTTTTTCTTTATTTCTTAATTAATAAATTGAAAATTTTTATATATTTTTAAATTCAAAATCTAAATGGGATTCAAAATTTTTAGATTTTTTTTAAATTAACTTTTTTGCCATTATTTTTTATTTTTAAACAATAAATTAATCAATTCTCAAATTTAGAGCTTGTGTGTGGTGTTTAATGGATTTTATTAGCATATTTGGACTAAAAAGAAACAAAATAGTAGAATTAAAAATGTTTAGTACCATTAAAGTGTTGTTTAGTTATCGAAATGAAAGATTTAGAATGAAAATGTAGAAATCGAATGAAAATTAGAGAACATAAATGATATTTGTATTTCTATACTATGGTTGGAATAATAGTTAATAACCTAAATCAAATTAATTTTTTTTAACGAGTTAATTTTTAATATGAATAAGAATAATGATTAAAAAAATAATTTTATCAATTATGATAGTCATGAAAACAATAAGGTGTTGTTTGGTAATCGGGAATAAAGTGATGGGAATGGGAATGCATAAATCGGAATGAAAATTAAGGAATCGGAATGGTATTTGTATTCCAATACCGTGTTTGGAATACTAATAAGAAATCGGAATGCAATTTAAATTTTTTAATATCCGATTTTATATATAAATATAAATAATGATTAAAAAATAATTTTATTAAACTATAATAGTTATAAAAATAATAAAGGTGATGATAGTGATTGTGGTGGTTCTAGTAGTGGTGGCGACGGCGACGGTGATGGTAATGATTGTGATAATGATGGTTGTGGTGGTGGTTGTGATGATGTTAGTAGAGGGTGGTAGTGGGTGGTGGTGGTGGTGGTGATGATGTTAGTAGTGGTGGTGGTGGTGGTGGTTATAATGGTGGTCGAGGTGATGGTGGTGGTGGTCGTAGTTATGATGGTGGTGATGGTGGTGGTAATGACGAGTAGTGGTGGTGGTTGTGGTCGTGATAGTGGTGGTGGTGGTGGTGGTGGTTGTGATGGTGGTGGTAATGGTTGTGATGGTGGTGATGGTGGTGGTAATGACGAGTAGTGGTGGTGGTTGTGGTTGTGATAGTGGTGGTGGTGGTGGTGGTGATGGTGGTGGTAATGACGAGTAGTGGTGGTGGTTGTGGTTGTGATAGTGGTGGTGGTGGTGGTGGTTGTGATGGTGGTGGTGGTGATGAAGATAAAGTGGGTGGTGGTGGTGGTGATGAAGATAGTGGTGGTGGTGTTTGTGGTCGTGATAGTGGTGGTGGTGGTGGCAAAAGTAGTTAATAGATAATAAATAAATAAAATATATTATTATTTTGAAAAAAAAGTTCATTCCCATTCCTTATTTTTTATTCCCACATTTTATGTAGGAATGAAGTTGTGTGTAAATTTTCATTCCCATTCCCACTCTTCATTCCCATTCCCATTTCATTCCTTTTAACCAAACAACTACAATGTGGAATAAAACTTCCATTCCCATTCCCATAACTTTATTCCCGATTATCAAACGACACCAAGGTGTTACTATACTATGCTTGGAATAATAGCTAATAATCTAAATCAAATTAATTTTTTTTAACGAGTTAATTTTTAATATGAATAAGAATAATGATTAAAAAAATAATTTTATCAATTATGATAGTCATGAAAACAATAAAGGTAATTGTAGTAGTAGTGATGATTGTAATAGTGGTAGAGTAGGAAGAGGACGAGGAGAAGGGGGTAGTAATAACAGTATAATAATAACGATGATATATTTTAAAAAAATTGATACTGTCACTATAGGAAAATGACAATAGAAGAAGAGTGATAGTAGTGGTACAATAAAAATGATGATAATGATTGAGGAGGAGTAATGACAATAGAATGATAGTAATAATAATAGCTTTTTTTTTTTTTTTTTTTTGTCACCATCATCAATAAAGGTGGTTATACTGGTAGTAGAAGAAATAATAATAATAATAGTTTTTTTTTACCATCACGATCAATAAAAACGATAATAGAAATAAATAAAAATAATATATTAATAGTTTAAAGAAAAAAATTTCATTTATATTCGTTATTTTTATTCGTACCTTCTACCTAAAAATAAAAGTATATTTAATTTTAATTTTATTTTTTCAAACAAACAACTATAAAGTCAAAATAAAATTTTTATTATGATTTCGATCACCCTATTTCGATTAACAAACAACATGTTAAGGGAAAAATGATGAATGTGACTGTGAAAGATGCATCATTTTTCATTTTAACAAATGTGACCCCACGCATCCAAATGTAATTTCCTGTCAAGAGAAGGAGCCAAAAGCCAAAGGAAACCAAAAACCAAACAAAACCCCTCCCTCCTCCCACTCTCCCTCCCTCTTCCGCCCAAAATGTTAAGAGCACTCTCTCTTAGACGCTCCCTTCTCCACCTCCACCACCACCACCATCCTAAACCCTTCTCCCCCATCACCACACCACCACCAAAACCCCCACTAAACCCATCTCGCAAATTCTGCACATCTCCCACTCCAACACCATCAACAAACTCTGAAGTCCGCAAATACATAGGCTACACAGTCCTCGTTATTTTCTGTGGTGCTGCCACTTACTACTCTTTCCCATTTCCTAACAACGCAAAACACAAAAAAGCTCAATTTTTCAGGTATGCTCCGTTACCTGAAGACCTCCACACAGTCTCTAACTGGAGTGGAACCCATGAGGTCCAAACCCGGAACTTTTACCAACCAGAAAATATTGAAGAGTTGGAGAAGTTGGTGAAAGAGAATAATGAAAAGAAGGCTAGGATCCGACCTGTAGGGTCCGGGTTGTCTCCCAATGGGATCGGGTTGGCTCGGTCTGGGATGGTGAACTTGGCTCTTGTGGATAAGGTTTTAGAGGTGGATAAGGAAAAAAGGAGAGTTAGAGTTGAAGCTGGCATAAGGGTTCAAGAATTGGTTGATGGGATTAAAGAATATGGGATTACTTTGCAGAATTTTGCTTCTATTAGAGAACAGCAGATTGGTGGCATTGTTCAGGTTTTTTTTTTCTTTATTTTTCATTTAAATAAAGGTTCATTAGTAATTGTTACACTTGGTCCTACTGCAATTGATTGGTTTGATCTATGTGACCATTGTCCATTGTTGGCATGGATTGAGGTTAGGAGATTATAGATGTTACTGAATTTTGCCCATAAGCGGATGAATTGCTGTCAAGTATTAGTTAAAAGTTAGAAACTTTGAAGGGTTTCTGATAAAATTTGAAAACTTTTGAGTATATTGTGTAAATTTGATGTGCGTTATGGAAGCGTGGGTGACTGGCCTATAAATGAAAGAGAAAAACTGAATAGATTGTAGAAAAGTTTGCGTAAAATCGAAGTGGTTCTGAAGTGTATTTTTGGTTTAGTGCTAGTTTTATTTGAATTTGATGATTTGTGGGTTTTGCTTGTTTGTTTTCAAGGTTGGTGCACATGGTACTGGTGCAAGATTGCCACCGATTGATGAGCAGGTGATCAGCTTTAAACTGGTTACTCCTGCCAAAGGAACTATAGAGATTTCGAAAGAGAAAGATCCAGAGCTGTTTTATCTTGCTCGTGTTGGTCTTGGAGGACTTGGAGTGGTTGCTGAAGTTACTTTACAATGTGTGGAGAGACAAGAGCTTGTGGAACACACGTTTGTCTCAAACATGAAAGATATTAAAAAAAACCACAAGTAATTTTTTTTTTTAACATTTTTATTGGATATTACTATCAGTTATCTTTTGCTGGCAGCTGAATGGTTGAGAATTTGAATCAAAGATGATAGGTTCCTGATGAGATTTGTAATCAGCTTTAATATTCTCCAATGATATTTATGTTGTGAACGATTTTGTAACTTCTAGATGCAAGTTCAAGTCTTGAGAGCATCCACTTCATGCAGAAATACTGAAGATAGGACTGTCTTGAAATTCTCTCCCATAACTCCATTTGGGTGGGATCATAAATGGGCAGCAGCTTTCTATAATGATTTTGGAGTCTCTAGTTTCAGCATGATCATATTAGTTGGTAAAACTTCTGTAGTTGACAACTAGGGAAATTTTAAACCTTATGAGCCTTCTATATATCATCTGGTGTTAAATTGTGGAATACAATGACAAGTCATTTAGTTGTAATGCAGCATGACCTATATTTCAGGGGTTAGACTACGATGAAATATGCTTGTATATTGTCTTTTGGAGTACAGCTGTCTCTCCCTCTGGTTTTGAATCATTTGAAATGAAAGTATCAGTAATTGAGGTTTTATTTGTTTCTTATGAATTAAATTTGCCTATGTTTCTTTTTTCAGGAAATTACTATCTGAGAATAAGCATGTGAAATACCTGCATATTCCATATACAGACACCATTGTGGTTGTGACGTGCAACCCTGTCTCAAAATGGAAAGGTCCACCCAAATACAAACCCAAGTATACTGTAGACGAAGCCCTACAACATGTTCGTGACCTTTACAAGGAGTCCCTTGAAAAGTACAGGTACATTGCCCGTTCTGAACTGTTGTAATTTGTAACCATTATGTATCATTCACGTTTTCTTCATTTGTTTCTAATCTCTTATTTACTTTGGTATTTTTATGGTGTGGTATATTTAGGCTTTGGATTGATGCTATTTTCTGTTATCTTGTTTTCAATCTGTCCACACATTAACAATTTCTGTTATATTGTCCTTATATATCTATATCAGTTAATTGTATGCAGTCACTTGCAGGATTGCTGCTGCTAAACCATCTGATGACAATGAACCAGACATGTTTGAGCTTTCATTCACAGATTTAAGAGATAAACTGCTTGCTCTTGATCCTCTCAACAAAGACCATGTTGTAAAGGTCAATTGTGCTGAGGCTGAGTTCTGGAGGAAGTCAGAAGGATATAGGGTTGGATGGAGTGATGAAATTTTGGGCTTTGATTGTGGTGGCCAACAATGGGTCTCTGAAACTTGTTTTCCTGCTGGTACTCTTGCCAGGCCAAGCATGAAAGACCTTGAATTCATGGAGGAGTTGAAGCAGCTCATAGAGAAAGAAGAGATACCTGCACCAGCTCCCATAGAGCAGCGATGGACAGCTCGCAGCCAGAGCTCCATGAGCCCAGCTTCAAGCTCAGCAGAGGATGATATATTCTCATGGGTAATTTCAGTGTGCCTTTTACTTTATTGAATTCCTTGGGTTCATTAGGTATTGGGAACACTTTGTGGTGTCTGTCTCATTTTTAATCATGAAGTCCTGGTGTATTTACCACGCTCCAAACTTGTAAGTTTATGTAATTCTAGAGATCTGGAAATTTTGTTTAGTTCTGATTTAAGATGTCCCATCAGTACTTATAGTATTTGGCTTTTATTTGTGTTTCACCACTGTCATTATGCTCAAACACTTTTTGCTTATGTCTCAGGTTGGTATAATCATGTATCTTCCTACAATGGATGCTCGCCAGAGAAAGGAAATCACAGATGAGTTCTTCCACTACAGGCATCTGACTCAGGTGGAGTTGTGGGATAAGTATTCCGCTTATGAACATTGGGCTAAAATTGAGGTACTGATATCCTGTATCCCATCTTCTGTTCAGAATTTAACTTATTCAGTACAGTCCTTGTGCTTTATTGGAGTGTTGGCATCAAATGGAAAATTTTATTCACCAATTCACTCTCCTCTCTACCAATACTCTGATTCTATAAGAACTGAGTTTATTTTATCAAAATCAGAAAAAAGATGTTCCATTGAAATTTGGTGCATCCTTATTTACAACTCACAAAATATCTGCAGGTTCCAAAGGACAAGGATGAGCTTGCAGCTCTTCAAGCAAGGTTAAGAAAGCGCTTTCCTGGGGATGCATATAATAAGGCAAGGAAAGAATTGGACCCCAACAGGATCCTTTCTAACAACATGCTGGAAAAGCTGTTCCCACTTTTGGAAACAAATTGAAAGGCATCCTTCAGTTCGTTGGTTAGTCATTTTATTCTTTCATATCCTTGTTATTTTGGAAATATCATATGTATTGTCGATTTGTTAATCTGCTTGGAGAATCAGCATAAATACCTGACTGTACATCAACTTGAGAAAACTTGGCAATATAGAATAATGTGTTGTGTTATTAATTTCATTTTACAAGAAAACCTTTCTGGCCTCTGATTGATGATGCATTTTCATTCGTGAATGGGAATGTGAATTTTTGGAATAAAGATTCTGTTAATCTTAGTGAGAGCTGTTTAGTTTGAAAGTTTGAACTAATATTTTTTATTGCATGATTTAGGGTATCGTGTTTTTGCTTCGTGATATTTGATTATTTATTTAAGTGGACTATTTTCAAACCTCAGATATTTAAATCAAAATCACCATTTAGGTTTATAACAGTCCCTGATGGCCACTCAGATGGTCTCTTGCCATCTTAATACCATGTATGTCTGAACTCTACGGAATTCCACTCTGCCAATTTTGAGGAATAGGGTGTTCAACCACAATATTTGACACTAGAAAACAACCCCATATTCGTAAAAGCCAAATTTGGCTAATGTTTGGTAAGAAACTACCTTGTAATGTAAATTAAATCATAAAAGGTAAATTCGAAGACATAAGGATCGCAGCTCTGAAATTGGTTTTAAGTATGAATCTTGTCGTTTTCGCATGTCTATTAATTATAGTCTGAACCAGATTTCACTAGTGCAAGACTGAGCTTGGTGTCTTGGAGGGTTACTTACTGATCCCTAAGAAAATAAAAAGACTGGCTTCGGAGGGTTTGGTCTTTGTCACTTGTATATGTTCTCACTCTTCTTTTCTCTGGTGCGATTCGCACTCTTAGAAAGCAAAGGGTAGTTAGTTGGAAATGGTGAAAAACACAGAAGGAATGAAAATCAGCAGAGAAAGTAAATAAAAAGGCAGAGTATATTACTCTATGAGGAAACTAATAATGAAATAACTTACAGGCTATTTGCAGACATTTTAATAAAACCACTTTTATTACAATATATACTTATAGAGAAAAACAGGAAAATTAAAGACCGCCCATCCAGTACAGAAGTTTTGCTATTTGGATCTCACTTTAGCAGCAAGCTTCACAGATCCAACAGCAGCATAGAGCGAAGAGGCTTCACAGATAAGAATCCAAAAAAAAAAAAAAAAAAGAAAGGATTAGCATTAGGATTAGAAACAATAGTTGGCAGCAATGGGCTTCAAGTTAGGAAGACTGGCTTTTGAGTTGTTCGTGTTTTCTTCAGTAATCAGCTGATACATAGTTTGAAGAGTACATTATTCTTAAGTCCCTGACAGAGTTATAACTCGGTCCTTTATACTTGAAAACCATAACTTAGTTCCTTGTCTTTAGCTTATGTTACCTTTTTGGAAAATTGGTTGGTTTTTCTTTAAACTCTCTGTATGTAGGTTTCTATCTAAGAATTTAAATCGTCAGATGGGATTAAGAACAAACCAAAAGATGTTTTGACAAGACAATGGTCAACAAGAGTTAAGGGACTAAGTTGTAGGTTTTCAAACATGAAGGGCTAAGCTACAATCTCATTGAAAACCTAGGGACTAAATGATAATATACTCTAGTTTAAGGCATGGTTTAGTTATCTATGTTGGTTGCAAGGTTGCTTATACGAAGGCAATTTTATGAACAATTCACTTCCAAAATTAGCTTGCTTGACTTACCATCCCTCAATGAAGCCTCTGTCTCCCTTCTTTTTTGTGTGAGGAAAGCATTTCTTCCCGGTGGTAGGAGTCTCAGTTGGGTATCCTGTGAACAAGAAAAGAGAAGTCTGTTTTCAAGAAGTTCTGGTTAAAAGAAATCTAGAAAGAGAGATGACAAAACCTGCTGGAGGCTTGTTCTCTTGAGTCTCTGAGCCGGGCATTTTGGAACGAAAACAAAGGAAACTTGAGTCTGTTTGTCTCTTTGAGAAACTGATGTTTCTAGTATGCAAAGATGCTTGATGGAGATTTGTCAGTTGGTTATATTTATAGACCCATGCATTTGCCATATGCAGTAAAATAGGGTAGTTAAGTAAGCTCCAACTTTTGGCTGGCACTAATTCATTCCTTAAGTTGCCTTTTCTTTGGGCAGCGATCAAAGATTCCAAATTCGTTAACTTCAAACTCTATTTCAGACTATATTTTGAGTAGCATCAGCTTGGAAGGTGATAATGAGTTAACTTTTGGATGATTACAATAAGGCCTAAAGGCATTAGGAATGTATTGGAGAACCTGGGATGGTGAGATTGATTGGTTTAGAGCTCGATAAGTAGATAACTATTGCCGCCTTTTGCTTATTATTTATTGTTCACACTTTGTACATATCTGCCTACTGTCAAGAAAAGTATGGTAGAATGAAAAGATTAAGCATCTAAATTTTCGGGGAACACAGTTTTTCCAGCTCATGAGATTGATTACAAATCCACCAAAAAAGTATGGATTCTTGTTTCATGAGGGAATATGAGGATCAGGGACACTAGCCTGCTAATTCTCTCTTCAAAGAACATATTCTTCCTCTATTATTTCCTTTTCGACGCACCGAAAGAACACGGTGTTGACCATCTTGCAAAGCAGCAATTACCTGTCAACACCAGAAGCAAAATCAATTCTATTTTGGCCAGCGTAAACCCTCATCAAAAGGACATTGGCATAGGCCAGAATATATTCTCATTATACTTGTCTTTTTCACCGTGCTAATTCAACGTAGCTCATCTCTTTTGACATTCAAAGGGAAAAGATCAAGACTGGCTGTTCTTTCTACTCCATGTATGCTATGTTTCTCTTTGTATCTTCAAATGAAAAGTGAATATACTCATCCATCTTTATATAATACTTAAAGTTTTTAATATATTTTTAAATTTTTTATTACTTCTCATCTGTTTTTGAAATTTTTAAAAATAGTCAATCTATTTTCCGATCAATTTTTCCGATATATATACACCCTCAAATAAAATCATGCAGCCTTCCCAATTTATGTGCATATGAGATTTGCACAGTCATCTCCCCGGTTCATCTCCAAGGCTGTGGCCCAGCAAAATGTTAGGTTAGATGTATGAGTACTCTGGACCAGGCAACTCGGCTTCATCCGAAGTGTTGGGTCTTCCTTCACTTGCCATGTAAATGGGCTTGGAATTTATGAGGTGATCCAAAATATTATTGTTCCTGATAAACATACCATGGGAGACTCTTTCTGGATATTTTTTTGGGTTCGACAAAAAGTCCATGTATCTTGTACTATAAAATCCTGTCTCATCTTTACTAGAATTGAAAATAAAGTTACCTCTAGTGGAAATATCAAATTTTATGGTATTGTGTGAGACTTCGTGGATACCTATGCCAATGAAGAAATCTAATTACTGTTTTCCAATACGACTGCTTGATCATTTTGTTTCCTTATTGCCCCAAACCAAAATAGTCCTGCATTATTATTAGTTACTGTGATGCTGACTAGGGTAGCGATGAGGAATTTTCACTTCCACGACCTAAAAAAATAAATAAAAAAAACGATTGTTCACGAATCCCAATCGATATTTTTGGGGTTTTCGAAAACAATCTATATAGGGATGGCAATGGGGCGATCCCCGTCCCCTCCCTGCTCCTAAAAACTTTTCCCTATCCCCGCCCCGCCCATAAAAAATTTTTCCCGTCCCCATCCCGTGGCCCGAATGGGGCAAAATTTCCCGTATCATTCCCACCCCAAACGGGGACAGGGATCCCCGCGGGGCAAATGGGGCGTAAATAGAGCAATTTTTTTTTATTTTCGTCTAATTTTATCCAATTTTACTACCAAAATTTAAATTATAGCAAAAAAAAAAAAGATAATTTATATAGAAAATAAACCCTAAAAGTCATTAATTATAGATTTTATATGGGATATAATTATAATTTTAATGAAAGAAAAAAGAAATGGGGCAAATGGGGCAAACGAGGCAGGGCATGCAAATCCCATCCCCGCCCCGTCCCTCCTCGCGAGGCGCCCCACCTCGCCTCGTTCCTCGATCAACGTGAGGAATCCCCGCGTTGATCGGGGAAAATTGACACGGGCGGGGCAAATTACTATCCCTAAATCTATGCTCTTTCAACATCAATGTAGTTGTTTGACAAAAGAGAGAACTTCTTTACTTCTTCTCATTTAACCAAACTAAAATATTTTTCAAATTTGCTTTGATACACATAGATCATGACTAATAAATTGGAGAAGCAAAAAGAAATTGACCGCTAACTTCTACAATCGAAGAGCTAAGTGACTAACTAATAAGCTAACTAAACAGACTTACAAACTATTTGACTAACATAATTAATTAGGTGTCTAGCGATATGGAAAGCCATGTAAGCAAGAGAAGCAACGATCCACATAAGCAAGGGAAGGAGCAATTCTTCTAATAATCTCATTCTAGAGAAGCATAAATATAAGTCATGCTCATCTTGCCCATGAGAGATTGAATCGGTGTAGGTTGTAGAGGTTTAGTAAACAAGTCTACAAGTTGATAGGTATGCAAGAAATTTTGGTTTAACGTCTCCAAGCATGAACTTTCTCCCTAATAAAATGCAATCCATCTTTATGTATATTATTCTCTCATAAAACACCGAATATGTAAATGATCGATTAATTATCACATTTAAGCACAAGAACCTCTTTATGTTCAAAACCTAAGTCTCGCAAGTAAAGTCAATGAACCAAATAATTTCACATGAAGTTACGACCATTACTCTATACTTTGCCTCGACGGAACTCTAGCAACCAAGGATTGTTTCTTGGATTTCTAGCTAACAAGAGAGTTTCCAAGGAAACATAAAAGCTCATGACAGATCTTTTTAAGTCTTTACATGATGCCCAATCACTACCTATATAAGCTTGCAATTGAATGTTAGATTGAGAAAAGAATAACAATCCTTGTCTAGTTGCTAACTTTAGATATTTCAAAACTTTGAATACCGCATGTAATTGAATGTCTCGTTGCTTTATCTATGTATTAGGAAAGGACTTGTGTAGCATAGGAGATTTCAAGCCTAGTAAAAGTCAAATTTAAGATTTTGCCCACAAATTGTCTATAAACGATTGGGTCTTAAAAAAAAAAACCAGATTGAGCTTGTATAAGTTTGCTATTAGGATCCATTAGTGTAGTTACTAGTTATATCCCTAACATCCTATGTTCTGCTAATAAATCAAGTATATACTTTTTTTGGCACAAATAAATCCATTTGGATGATCTATCAACTTCAATGCTAAGAAAAAACTTCAACTTTCCCGTGTCTTTCATCTTGAACTAAGAATATAGATATTTCTTAAATTCACCAATAGTTTCAACTTAATTGCTTGCAATCACCAAATCATAAATGTACATAAGTAAGAAAAGAAAGATATCGAAGATATTCTATTGATAAAGAGAGAATAATCTAACTTTAACTATATTAAGCCAAATGATAATAAAGCAAGAAGTAAGATTTTGGTTCCACTATTTGGATGCTTGCCTTAAATAAACCATACAAAAACTTCTAAAGTTTACAAACAAGCTTTATATGTTTAGTATACTCCTCCCGGACTTGATAAACTAGATGAATGTTTATATACATTGTTTCATCTAATTCTCCATTAAGAAAAGTATTATTCAAATCCATTTATGAAAAAAAACCAATCTTGATATGCTCGTAAGTGCCAAAAACAATCCGACGATTGTCCGTCTAACAACGAGACGTATATTTTTTTAAAAATCATAACTTACTTCTCGATTATACCCTTTAGCCACCAACCCTAGACTTGTATATATTAATAGAGCCATCGGCATGAAGCTTGATTTTGTAAACTCACTTGCAACCCATAATATGTTTATCAAGAGGAAGGAAAACTTTGGTGTAAGTGTTATTCTACTCAAGAGCCCCGAGTTCTACTTCTATGGCATCTTGCTAGTGAAGAGGTTGCATAAATTTTTGGTATGTATGGGGTTTAACAAGGTACGAAAGAGAAGTAAGAAATGTTTTATGTGATGATGATAAAAGTAAAGTGAAAATATAGTACTCGAATGAAACGAGTAGTAGAAAATCAAGTAGATAAAGTATTTAAAGGAAATTTGATTTGATAATTAGGCAAATAGATAAGTGGCTTGCTTACTCTAGTACTTTTCCTAACAAGGAGAGAAGGACTAGAAGGATTGACATCTAAAAAAGGTAAAGTTGATTGAAAGTCAATGGCATCTAAATAAGGCAAAGTTGTTTAAGGAGGATCATCTAAAATGGGCATATTGTCAAAATAAGCTACATTTTCAAGAAGAACAACTACTTTGTCAAAAACAGATGGTGTATTTGTAGATACTAGTCATGAATGATGAAAAAAATTTAGGAATAAATGGTTTATTAGTAGATGATAATAATGAATCATGAAAGACATTAGGAAAATCATGTAATGCATCATAAGAAATGGTGTCCGGTATGTTAGATAGAGAATCATATGAAATGTAAGAAAAAAGAAATACATGTTCATGAAAAATAACATCTCTAAAAATGAATACTATCCGAGAAGTTAGATCATATAACTTGTATGCTTTCATGCCAACTCGGATAGCCAATAAAAATCCATTGTCTAACTCTAAAATCAAACTTTTTTCTCTTATGTGAAATAAGTAGAGCCAAACAAAGACAACTAAAGACTCATCGACGGAGGCATGAGGGTTTATTAAGAAACAATAATACATAAGGTGTGTTATTATTTAGGATATTAGTAGGAAGTTTATAAATCAAATAAGTCATAGTTAAAATTGCATCATCCCGTAAAGTAAAAGGTAATTGAGATTGAAATAATTAAGCTTTGGTAATAACAAGAAGATGTTGATTTTTTTTTCCAATAAGACTATTTTATTGAGGTGTTCTTACTCATGATAATTGGTGAGCAATTCCTTTTGTAGAATAGAACTCGTAAAGATTAAACTTTGGTTCATTATCCAATTTACCTTGTTTAATGAAAAAGGTAAACTAGTTTTGAACAAAAGTTTTTTTAAAAAAAAACAAGGATAATAGAAAATACATTTGACTTAGATTTCATCAAGAACACCAATGTCATTCTAGTAAAATCATCAATTATGGTAAGAAAGTAATGATATTTACCACGAGTTAAATGAGAGTAAGACCCCTAGATGTCAAAATGAATTAATTGAAAAGGAATTGTTGTGGTTTGAATGTGGATTAGAAAAAATATCATTTGTGTTTAGCCATTGGACAAACAACATAAGGAATTTTATGGAACTTTAAATTATTATGAGCATCAATACAATTTTGTTGAATGACATTCATCTTGTTTGTAGATATATGACCTAGTCTAAAATGCCAAAGATCAAAGCAATCCTTAACACCAAGGACAAAACTAGCATTAACTATAGGAATGAAAAATGACCAAACTTATTCTTATTGAAACCGACACGTTCTAAACATTGGAGAGGCATTGGATCATATAGCAAGTAAAGACCTCTTTTAAGTTTAACAAGTCCAATCATTGTCCATGAAGGAACCGCCTAAATGAAACAAAAATCACCACTAAAATCAATAAATATATGACTTATCAATGTAAGCTTATTGATAGAAATAAGATTGAATTTCAAAGAAAGAATATAGAGGACAATGTGTAAAAAATAATTAGAAGACAAATATACAATGCAAGAATTTGTAACAAACACTTGATCAATGGCATGATAAGAACTGAAAAAAAATTTAAGGAATACGTTATATGATTTGAAGCTCTTATATCTATTATCTAAGATTCATCATTCATAAGACATGTCAACTATTTCGAGTACTCGTGAGCAATAATGATATGATGTTTGATTGAAATTTTGTGTGAAATTGGAATTTATACTTACTAATTAGTGAGAAGGATTAATGGACAGCTTGGTTAATACATCCTATTCACTAAAAAGTGTCATTAGTCCTTAAATTTGAGATTAATTCGAAACACTTGAGATAGTGAACTTGCAACGAGTATTTAATGGACAGCTTGGTTAATACATCCTATTCACTAAAAAGTGTCATTAGTCCTTAAATTTGAGATTAATTCGAAACATTTGAGATAGTGAACTTGCAATAGTATTTAGCAAGGTTACACCATTGATAGTAATATAATTCACAACGATAACCAATTCTCTTATCACCATGTTGTCACACAATTAATTGATGATCGATTTCCCTTATTCTTTACAAACTTAAAATTAGTAAGAAAACCAATTGATCAAAAACATCT